CAATGCCATCGACAGCCCCCGTGAGAGAATTTGAAGAACTATGATGATGAATGTGAAAAAGTAGCGATGGGAGGCACTGCAGTTCACATTTTCTTGATTTCCCACAGGAAACACGGACATAATAAAACCGCAATTCGTGCGAAAGAACGTTTTACGAAACATGGTCTATCTGAACCAACCTGATATTTGGAGTAACTGAAAATTGCTATCTTTGAAAATACCTTTAGGATTCATAATTAACCCGTGAAATAATTTGATTTAATTCTATGAGAAATATTTGTTTAAATATAGAAAAATGAGCCAAAGTTTTCAATGTTTTATAGTTTTGAATTAATAAGATTGTGCAGCCAGGCATAATAGACGTATATACGATGCGTGAGACAGTTGCAGTTTACAAATTTTAAATGCTTTCTGCGTTCGCTTACGGCAAAGCTTGCATGGCATTAAATAGTTCAGAGAAGATAATTGTTTTTCACGAGTTTTGTTCTTCAATATTCACTTTAATTATTATCGAATAAAACCAATACCAGTAAGACCGGTTCCAGGCATTTAGATTCTTTATAGCTCCGGAGCAGCAAATAAGTAAAACCATGGAAGGCAAAGGAAGATGTCCCTGAAAGAAATATAACTTCCACTTCCTATTTTTCGCTGCAGCTTAAGACTATAAATTAATTACAAATCGTACGAACAGAAAAAAAGCACAAGGATAGGTCTCTTATTTTTAATTATTACGTTTTCTGCTTCTCGTTTCTTAACTTAAGCTTAACAAATTCGTTTTCTAAAATTAAAGATTATTGATAATTTGATTCCGGCTACTTCTGCTTCTTTATCGGTATATTAGTGAAGATTTGAAAGAATTATCAAGGTCTTCATTTTTCCCTATCGACATTTTTATTGATTATTTGATGGGCTTGTTCATCATCAAACGTGCCAGTAACGAAGTGAAAATCCAACCCCAGTAGGTACTCCCGGAAGCGCTACCAAACTCGCAACGAATCCAACTTCCTTCCTGCACCCCTGAAGGCTGGACACAAGTCCAAACAAGTGGGCGCGCCGCACGCGTGAGTGCTGACGTTAAGCGCCGCCGCGCCACACGTCACTCGCCGTTGGCCCACACAATCGCAGCGAACATCGCAAAAGCGGAGTAGCGGAAGCGCGGCGGCGCGACTGCGACGGCGTGACGTGACGTGACGTGACGTGACGTGACGCGCAGGCGCCAGGGCGGCCAGCGATGAGGCCGCGCGGTCGACAGAGGTCGCGTCCGCTCGCCCGCGCGGCTGCCGCTTGCAATCGGGCAGGGGGGGGGGGAATGCTTGGCTGTGCGGCAGGCCGACGCTTGAGTAATAGGATATGGAGGGTTGGAATTATTTATTTGTTAATAGTTTTTGGGATTTGGCGGGAGAAATAATATATTAAATAGTTTCGGCGACTATAACTAAGAGCTCAAATTCTCTTTTCTTCTTGTCTTCCTGTGGTTCTAACAGCCCATTTGCCTATTTTGGTTACTGCGGGGGTATACATACTTATTCGGTCTTAGGAACAGGTACCAACGTTTCGGCCGCGATTCAGCGATCTGTTTTTCGCCCTGAGGAAGGACGCTGAATCACTTTTCCTGTGCTTAGGACGCGACGTCTCCCGGGCAGCCAAGCCTTTGCTGACTTCGGCCGCGGAAGTCTACACTCTCAAGAGGATGTGTGGCTGAACGGACGTAGCCTCCCTGATGCAAGGTTTTGGATTGATTGATTGGTGATGTGTGTTTCCGGGTACGTCAACTGCTAAGGTAATTAGTCCCGTAAGTATAGGCAATGTTTTATCGCGGGGGGGTGCAGCGATCGCCCCCTCTAGATGCTGAGATCTGGCGCAGACCTTCCCGTTGGCAAACGGGAATTTCCCTAAACAAGGTATCTCCCACCAGGAGGCACCTCCCCAAGATCTAATTGTGATTAGCGTAAACTTCCCGCAAGCTTCAAAGGAATATTTTTAAAATCGAAAGTTTGAGCCAAGCCAGATGGATCGAATGTTTTAGGATTGTTGGTAATTGTTTAATGTTGTTTCCAGAAGAACAGGCGGACGTTGTAAACACCAATTTTTCGGTATCCGGAGCCTCACTAACAAGTATTTCTTCTAAATTAAAACTACGTCAATTTTCCACAGCATTAGATGGCATTTTCTTGTACTAAGTACTTTATTACACCATATGAGAAAGTAACAATGCTGTCTTGCTTAAAACACCAACGAGAAAGTAAAAAGGTCTTCTAGCATAAAACCATAAGTACTATTTAAAACCTATATTTTTCCTTAGTTTTTTCCATTAAAAGTCTAATATTGGAAAAATGGGACTTGATACCTAAATAATAACGTTTTTCCTTATCAAAGAAAATGTTCGGAATCACCTAGAATTTCAAAACAACAAAACCTTGCTTATCAGTGTATTAATACATTGTGCGCTCGCTGTCAACCTATCATACTCTTACATGGTGCAAAACAAAAAAGCAAGGGCAGCGCAGTGGTGCAATCACCTACGAAAGTAAAGGAAGGTCACAAATGCTTTTTTTCTACACTTCGTTCAGGAAATGTGGCACATGTCACATAGATTTGAACAGCGCGATACATGCCGCCTTACTTTGCGGCCGACAGTTAGCCGCCACACGTAGATTGTGAGTTTTTTTGAAATCCGACATCAACTCGCGTAACATTCGATTATTGACCCCCGTCGCTGCCTCCAGCGCTACTGGAGAAAGGCATCCGCATGTCCAATGAATGGACGCTGTGCATGAGTACGCGGTGGTAGGCTCAATCTCTGCTTCTCTCCTTCAGCAACTCGCGCGAAAAGGTATCAGTCAATCAAATTTCACCCCAAGGCGGCCGGCGTGTCTTGGCCCAACAAGGAACCGCAATTTGAATTCTAATCACTTCCACTCGAAAACTGCCACCTGGGCGCAAGTCCGCCGGGAGAGTTGTGATGACGATTATGCAAATACGGAGTCTGATGTTGGCGTCTACGTTGAAATGAGAGGCAGGGGAAACGTCGTTTTGTTTGGCAGAATTATCATTTGGAATTGTTGGACTATGGACGTCGGTGCCCAGATGTATATTGGTAGCACGCTGCTGCCTACGCAACGGGTCAGTTAACTGAGATATGTATGAAAAGGAAATCCACGCTCTCTCTCTTAACTTATCTTCGACATGTCCGCGAAGAAACTTACGTCTTCCGCGACGAGATATGGAAATCAAATGACGCTAAGTGAAGGATCCAATTGTTGACATGCAACGAACGTTTTAGAGGGCGCGTAGGAAAATAATATAGTATACTTAATATTCACTCTTACATCCCCCTTGCTCATTTTCTCTTCTTAAGGCTTTTTGCAGCTTTTTTCAATCCGTCAGCCGGTTACTCTTTGATGAGAGACTCGATGAGACGCGTATTCGACCAAACACTACGCACCAACACACTTGCGGGCTCCTCTGATCTGGGGTCAGCAGAACGCGAGGCCCTCCGCGACAACATATACATGAGAGATAAGGGACAAACAACCATGCTTAAGGCCGGACTCGCACCCGCGACCCTTCGGACCGACGCGTTAAGCCGGTACAAGCACTAGACACCTCGGCTATCCACTTCGGCCCCTTGATCATTTCCTAAATGCAATAATGCCAGGCAAATCATAATCAGAGGCGTCTTCACAGTTCGCTACATCTCGAGGAAGCGAAATGAAGCATTTCATATCTTAATGATCTCAGAAGTAGAATCGCTTGCTATTAACTTTTTTGTAGTACAAACACTACCTTTTAATAACATCTTAAAATTAATCCAATGAACGCTTTTGCTAATTTAGTCATCTGTTGTGCGAATTACAATCGATCTATCGAAAGCATAGATGTTTTGGCGTGAACAAGAGTGTCTATGAGGCTTTATATAGTTAGCGAAGCGAATACAGCAAGTGTTTACTATCTACAATTGAGCATTTTTAAATGCAAATACAAGTGAGTGTATAGAAACGTCCATTTGTATCAGGCATGCCTCAACAAAAAATTGTGGTTATAATTATTTGATTATTACTTTTTTAAATAAGGTAGGCAGCAGAGTTTCTGGTTTTAGTGTACTGCAACATACACGTCCAGAGCTTAATAAATGTAAAACATTTCAATTACATTTTCATTAGCGATTAGAGATTGCAGTTTTTGAAAATTTGTAAAACTCTCTCATTTTTATAGTGGTAGAGAATAAGTACTGGATGAAAAATAAGAATCTAAAATTAATGAGTAATGAAATGAAATCAATTACCTTTTTGTGTAGGGAGGGGATTTCCCCTGTTGTGTTAGGCATAAGAGTCTATGGCATTCTGAAATCCATTAGACCTCAACCACTTTCACTCAAATATTTTCCATTTCAATTTAAAGAAATAGCAAAGATGTATTATAAAAAGTAAATTGGAGGGACACTGGCATGATAAACAGAATGCTTTAAGTAGAATTCAATACTCAATTGATGACATTTGGAATTCTTACATGCATCTAAGACAACGGAGCTGTCAACAAGCCGAGTATTACGAGTACTGAGCTTTGAAGATATCATCTCTGCATCACGCCCCGGGTGAAATAATAGATGTTTGAAAGAAGAAACAAGTGAATGAAAGGAACTGGAGGAAAAATCAAAGTTCCATTAATAATTGGGTGATCTCAGAAATGCAAACACTGATAATACCTGCCCGGTAACAATATTTATAAGTTTCTAGCTATTTGATGATTGGTTATGGTATTTGTAGATGTTGTACTTATTTAGCCACTATTATTTTATATTATACATGAAGACTAGTGGTGATTTAAAAATTAAAGAAATTAGTTTTTCTAAACATTTTTATACTATCTTACGAGAACTTTTGTTATCGACAATTGATTTCTTTTTTTTTTTTGTGTAGTACGTATTTAGTCATTGTAACCAAAAGACATTATTGTTTGACTAAAATAATTGGAATAAGCATATTTATATATGTATATATTTATATTATGTAATTAGGCTTATCAGCACCTCGGTTCATGGCAGCACCTTCAGCTTTAGGCCGCAATTCACGAATGACCACACGCACACATTTGCCTCCAGCTTGTCCGGTGAGCCTCTCTGCTAGAGATTCAGGGTCCGACTCCAAGGCGCACCCTCACGTGCCAGAGGGGGACACGCGAGCCAACCTTCCTCAACCAACCCGGCTGACGCCACTGCCAAATGGAGCGAATGGAGAGCGGGCCGCGGAGGCAGATGCGCCGGTGACTCAGACGAGGGAGGGCAGGGCAGGGAGAGACGGGGCGGGAGCCCGGGCCGCTGATCCCCCCAATTAGCCGTGGCGACGCAGCCGATAGAGGAGCGGCGAACCGCGACTTCACGGGTCGCCCCCGCCGCCCCGCGCCGCGCCGCGCCGGCTTCCAGCTCTATCAGCTGTTTGTTCCGAGCAGGCTTCGTTCCGCGTTACCCAAGAAGCGAGATTAGTAGTGCGTCTTTATTACTTGTATTTCTCGATTACGTGGCGTGTTTTTGACATTGTCATACGCTGTTAATAAGGATATCGGAGAAACGTCTAGATTTGGGACTTTGTATAATAAGTAATATAGCTCCTCTTACAGTGTGAATTAAAATTTAACAATTATTGTCATAATAGCTATCTTTAACAAAGCATTTTAACACTATTGAAATTATGTGAATCAATAACAATTTTAACATTAATGATACAATCAGTATCTATCTATAATTTATTTAAACAATGTCAAGTTCACTTTCCGAAGTCTCTGATATCCAAGTTTGTATTTCCAAAAATACCTTTCCGTAAAAAAATCCAACATCTTAATTCATTGATTTATTATTTTCCTTAATTTCAATTTTGTAAGAAATCAGTTTGAATTTGAGGTAATGCATATTTTAATGGAATCTTAATGTAACTCATTACTAATCGAACATTTATTTTTTCTAACCACGGCTAAAAATGTGCCTAAATTTGTGTAAAATAAAGGTGCTGAATAAAGCCGAATTTTCTGTACGACGTCTGAATTATCGAATATTATAGTTATAAGCTTTTTAACTATTCGATGTCTAACTATATAGCTATATGGCTGACAATTGATGTTTGATAGATAAATTTAATACCATTTAAAGATGTCTAAAAAGTTTTCCCCCCAAAATATGAATTTTTGGAAACATTGAACCAGAAATATTGTAAGTTTCAAAAATATTTCAATAAAACCAGCAATTCCATTTCTGAATGAAAATTGCTTCCTAAATTCGTTGATGAACATCAAAAACCCAATATTAGAGTTTTTCGATAGATTAAAAGATTTTTTTAGGAATTATCACATGCTATGTCTAATGCGCAAACAAACATTATCTAAAAGGCCATGTACGAGTACAGTTCCGCATATAAAAATAACGATGACTGTGCTGATTAGCAATTAACGTACTGATAGTATTTCGTAAAAACTGTTTGTTACTTTTTGTTGCAGTTAAACTTTTATTTAATTTACAATTCCTAGAAAAATGGTACAATTCAATACGGTATAAGTTGGTTATTTAAGATATGCAATATTGTATAAGTATGCATGTTAGTTAAGTAATAGGTTACAGATGCTGCTAGTGCTAAAGGTGAACATGACAAACAATTTCACCTTCATTTACTGTGATGCACGATTTTTTTACGTCTCTACAGCTCAAAGCATTTGAGGCAATTCGTGCGGTCCAGGCTCCCCCAGTGCTCCTCCGTCGGGGCAGAGTTTCTCTCGAGCAACGCGGCTGCGAAAGCCGATTCGCTCGCCCGCGCACAGGAGAATGATCGTCTGTGACAATTGCACTGGCCTCGCGTTCGTGAAGCAGTCAAAACTCCTAGGAAGCGTCGGGTCGGGCAGGCTAGACTTTTCCTCGCAGAGTTATGAGACACTACTACTCTGGTAGAAGGACTACTGCAAGGTGGGAAAACGCCTCTACTAACTTTTTATGCATGCATGATGCAGAGGTCTTGTTTTTTCTCGAATTTATCGAGCTATAGGTTGTTTAGCTATCAGCTTTACAAATTATATTGGAAATAAATTTTATTTTCAAGGTTTAAAAGTAAAAAAAAAATTGCTTTCCTTTCAATTAAAACTATCATTAGCTGAAGTACCCCACATTGTCGGGGTATTTATTGTAATAATGTGTTAGAAAGGAATATGTATTCTATCTATTCGACCCTGCGGTGAGGGCTACTTCTATTTGTTCTTTTGTATTTGAACCCCGCCGCACTGCCCCACCTCGCCCTCCCTCACCGATATTGATTCAGTATTTGCAGAGATTATCGTGTTGTATCTCAACGCCCTCGTCGATTTATATGTTAGTTTAAAAGATTACATATAATCATCATTAATTACCAACAAATAAGTGATCTTTTTACTGTTCACAAAATTCACTTTCGCAGACTGGAAACAAGCACGGATATGCCGATATACGCCTAGTTGTTCTTGAGATTGCAACTGTAATAGTATTCACAAAAACTATGTTCTCCACACTTTATTGGCTGTTAAAAGGCAATTCTATTTTTCTCAAAATACGTTGAAATTCCAAATCAATATCTAATAAAGAGGATGAAATAATAAATTATCTCATTGCCATAACACTGTAATGCCCTTAATTTCAGAAGTCCATGCACTTGCACATGCTCATGCACTCATGCAGAAGGACCAACGACTTCGCTCATTAAACATTTTTTCGCGTACGCTGCATCGTCTTCGTGCAGTACAGCCCACACAACACTCCTGTCTATGCAGTTCATGAATATTTCAAACCGTCAAGGGAGTGCCAGACTGCACGTATAATTGTTGTAACAAGGACAAAAATTGCTGTGGCAATGCCATGGAGAAATACCCAGAGGTCAACCACCCGACTTAATTTGAGACCTTCAGCATCTCTGCAAACATATTTTATATATATAAACAGATTATATTATATATAAGCCCAATATGCTATGTTAAATACCTGCAATTAAAGTGTTCTTTAAGTTATTGTTTATTATAGTAATTAACACAAATCCGTAACTATTGTTACACAGCTGCATTGTAATTTCCAACTGCATAAATGCAACGCTATATTCTCACTGTTATTTTTACTTCATGGGGTTTTGGTGAACGTGTACAGCGAGCCCTGGGGCTTGGGAGTGTCCAGAACCCATCGCAAGCGCTGAGAGCAAGTGGTGTCGCTCTGCGCCGGGCGTCGAATGCAGAGTGCCGAGTGCCACTGACGCGTCGGAGGAACCAATGTTGGATGGAGGGGGAAGCATGGGGCCCACGCACCCCCCACCCCCCAAAAAAGGGGCCTAGAGTTTTCGTTTGTTACCTTCTTTTATTCTTCAAAATCGATTTAAATATTTAAATGATGAAATTTAAAAAAATTGAATAATATCCGATATACACTACAAAAATAATATACAATGTAATAGCAAATGTTAATTATTTAACAAAAACCTATGATGACCCCCTCCACAATGGTCTCCTTGATTAGCCCTAGGGGAGATCGTCGCTCGCCCAGCGGCTCAATGGTTTCGAGATTCACAATAGTGGTGGGGACGGCAAGTGTATTCCCTGTCTTATTCCCAGCACTCGCCACAGAGCATCCTGAGCGGCGGTTACGTGTTTTTCGCAGAATGCAGAGATTGACTTGCATCAGCTAACGTCTTGTGTGCTGCGCGTTTACAGTCCCTCAAGCGGCGTTTAGGATTCGCAACGTGAAAGTGCGCTTGCGGCCTTGTTCTCGCGCCAAGAGCCGTTGAAGACAGGACTCTCTCGCCACTCACGTGGTTTTCACACTTTCCTCTAGTGAACTGTTATTTGATGCCAGTGGTTCTGCGATCGATAATCGAGAGAAAATGGTGGCGGTCAGCAGGAAAATCTAGACAAGAATTGAATAATTTGTTGTGAAATTTGTTTCCTAGCAGTGGATTGATTGATTGTGATGACTAGCGATTCTGGGCGCGTCAACTGCTGAGGTCATGTGTAAGCGAAGTGCGTCTTTTTGGATCGGGAGGTAGCGGTCTTCTCACACCACTGGATGGCGAGATCCAGCGTCGATCTATCGTCGGCTAGCGGGGTTTCCTCGACCAGGTATCTCCCACCAGCGTAGCGCCCTCACAGCCGAGCAAGCTTTAAGCTCCTGACAGGACTCCCGGCATGTGCAATAGTGTAGTGCATATAATTGTAAGTCTGTAAGGAGTGGGATACGATAAAGAATGGGAAGGAAAGATCGCGCACAATCCGTGGCCCGTTTCGTAGAGTAGTGCTCCGGCATTCGCCTAGTATTGATCGGAGAAACAATGGACAACTGCTTATCAGATCGGTCGGCTGCTAGAAGGTCGGCTGCTAGTCGGTTTCAGTTGGAATAATCATTTTTGCGTCGAATATGTTTTTATTTCCGACATTATACCTATTTTCCCTTCGTAGCTAATGAATCGTAATTTCGTGGATGGAATTCGCCATTTATTACTGTGTTGTCCAAACATTCAGTATTTTGTAAAATCCATTTTCATAAAATAAAACACCAAGAGACATAAACCATTTTATAAAATTTGAATGTAGTTGAAGGGGCATATAGGCAAATTAATTTTCCGGGAAATTAAATCGCACTCGCATATACAAAGAGTTTTTTTGTGTAATAAGAGTATTTCTGAAAAGTAACGAGTGGTTCTACCCCTGTTTCTATTATACGTAAGTTATGCTTTTAACACTCCTTTTATCTCCTTTTTCTCTGGTTAATAGTAAAACAAAAATTATATTCGAAGCGATTCTTATATTCTTTATGTCATTCTTATATTCTGTACGTCTTTGTATTGCGGTAAATTCATGAATTGAACTTGAAAAAGTCAAACTAGAAGTGTTGTGTGTCAGAACGAAGTTGAATTATTGTTTCGACCACATCAACCATTCTCGCCTTGCAAATACGAATGTTATTCTATTTGATTTATTTTGAATTATACGATATTGAATTTCTCTATGTATATTTTTATCTCGTATTACATTTTATTGTTATTGTTCGGCATTTACATTTCCTACATTTTTAAAACATGTTAATTCAGAAACGAGCGGTTGGCTCAATATAAATAAGTTTCAATGTCGACTAAATACTATAAGAGCTAAATTAAGAGACGCATTTATGGCCACGAAAACTAATAATGAGTATTTTAGGAGGTTCGGTTTGTCATAGGAGTGTTGTCACAGAAAAGAAAATAATTACTTTGAGTCCACCAAAGCGTGTTCAGTTTTTAATACAAATCAAGAAATAAAGTTAGTTTCAATTTGAACGAGTCATATTTTTATTGAAAGTCATTCAATTTAATAAAGCCAGTTGTAAGAAAGCAACAACACAGTCTTCATGAAATGATCTAGTAGTGTGAATGTAATTTAGTTACTAATTCCGAAGTACAAAACTTACAATGCTCTGAAGAAACTTCTATGTAACGGATTGGCGTCGATAGCAGCAGGGCAGACTCGATCCTGAAACAAAAAGATACACAACTTTTAGAGCTCTCAGAAAATCAGACTTCTTTGAAAGAAACTAATGAGCAGAGAAACAATTTCCCACAGTGTGTGGCACGAAGAGAGCCACATTTAAGAGATTAAATGAACAATATTGAGTCATTAAAACGTTAGCATTAGGGAAAATTTTTTCTCGGGAATTTTTTATTATGTGGTATCCATTAAAACGAAAAATTCATGAAATCATCGAGATTAAATTACTATTTCGTTACAGAGCAAAGCTATCAAATCGTTCGTAAAGTAAAGTGCTGGCAATAAATAATAAAACTCTTACGACTTCTCTTAACTGAGGAACATTGGCTCTGGACCTCACATTAAGCGGTGCAGATTTTCACTCTCTCTCTCTCTCTTTGATGAGAAAATCTGAATTGACCTTCACGTGCTCGATGACTTCGTGGAAGAGGCACGTGCCCTGCGATTTTGAAAATATTGCAACCGGTTTCCTCAAACGAGACCGATCGACGGTTGGCAAATTCGTCGAACAAAGTAGTTGATGCTTTTAGATCTCTTAAGACGCGGTATTTCCTCCTCATGAATAATATAATAATCACAATCATTGGCTTCTTTATGTATTATTCATCTCAGTAAAATAAAATTCTCCAAAACGAATCGTAGCATCATTATACTCAAGTAGAGAGAGATCTACAAAGGAATGCGAACATGCGAGTTTGTAATAAAATATAGGAGTTTTAATCTCGTGAATGTAACCGCGATAAATAAACACATTGTTATATGTCATCATTTCATTGCATTATTTGTTAATTTATCTTTGAAACGCCACTTCGTGCCTACGCTTTCGTAAGAGAAAATTACAGAGGAAAGATTATGTTTTTTTTGGTAAGGTAACTTTTGTATAGTAGAAAGGTAACAAGAATGGGTTAAATACACGAGAAATAATCACAATTTGTTATAATCCTACTGTACAGTGAAGTTATCAGAACCATTGATGATGTTTTATGGAAAATTTTAAAATTTAAGGCAAATAAAATTTCGTAACTGAAATAATAAAACATTAGTTAACGAATTATTTAATGCTTTCATAATTAGAAAAACTCTGAATACTGGAACAAATTACTAATGTTAATATATTCCAAAACATTAATTACATTTGTACAATGTTAATTTATATTTCGCCAAAATAAAATCCGGTTCAAAATGATCGCGTACGTATTTGAAACATCTTACTGAACAATCTTGCAATTACCCTGAATTAATTATAACACAGTCTTTTACGTCTCACTGAAGTGCAACTTTGCCTACATTTCGTAAACGGTTTTACGAAATGTTACTTCAAAAGGTCTAAACCATTTTATTCTTCAATGTTCTCATGTCAAAATTTATCTTGTCAACATATTCCCTCTCCCAAGAAAAATGAAATTAAAACACTGTTTAGCGCGTTGACTTTCAATCAAGACAATCATTATTGAAGCTGATAAGGGCATCTGGAATGTTCGACTGGTCACCCCGGGGATTCCCTGCATCATGACGCGGAGGATTGGAAAGGAGAGGGGGGAGGGGAGGGGAGGGGAGGGGAGAGGAGAGGAAGGGGAAGCGGCTCCACAGACGAAAGAGTCGGGCGGCGAAGAAAATGCTCCGTCACGGTTACGGCGTCCGCCCCCGCCTCCAGACTCACGCTGTCGAATTAATCTCTATCGATTCCTCCGACACTCCCGTAAATCATTGTCACATATTCAAAAGGAAGACAGGTTCAAAACGTTTTGACGATATGCATGTTAACCTTTATTCATTTTATGCAGTCCCATTTACGTTTTGCCAAAGGCAGTCCTGTGGTGTCAACGTCATCTCACAAAGCACGAAGGCAATATGTTGAGCAGAAGAGTTTTACAGTTTTATTGAAGTTTGACTTAGAGGTGCCTTAAATATTTTCTGTTCTGAAAAATCCAAAGACTTCTTCTAGCTGAACTCGCTAACCACGCTAACAGTTACGCTAAACAAAGTCTCCAGTAAATACAAAACACGAACCGTAACGTCCTGAAGCGACTTAAGGAAGAGCTCTTTTGAAAATCGTACCACAAAGGTTTAGAACTGTAAATATGCAAAAGCCCTGAATCACTTTCCTAATATGAGGCATTTTGAAAACCTGCTCGGAAGATTAATAATGAAAGAAGACACAAAACGTCATTAAACGAAGTCTCTGCGAGGATATGAACTGTGTTGGACATCTGATATGATCAATGCAGTCGATTTTGTGGTTTCCAATGACCTTGTCCACGGCGATGCCACAGTAATGCCTCAAACAACGATACACAAAGGCTACAGCGCACGACATTCCTTCAACGTGTCAGATCGAATGTGCAAAATAAACGTCCTCCGTAAGGTCATTTCTGAGTTACGAGATTACACGGCACTGCGTAAGTTCAGCATGTGCGATTTATAAGTCGTAGAATGATTATGGTTGACCGTCTAAAGCTATTCCGCGCTGCTCATGCAGAATCCATAAACGACGTTAAAACAGTTGTTGCAAGACAAGGATGCCACTACTCACTCATTCAATTATACACTCTTAGTGCCGAAGATGAAAGAACCAAAGCGGAGTGTCACGAAACCAGAGGTCTATCACTAAATATCGACATAAAATATGTAGGACATTCTGTGTATTCACAGTCCCAAGGTTAGTTTTTGTTAATCCTTGAAGCTCGGAGTCTCGTCGCCAACTTTGAAATACGTACAAAAGATACGTAACTCTCATTTGGACCCTAAAAGTATTACGTAGAGCAGCCCTGTATATCAAATATAGTAAACCATATCATGGAATTAAATCAGTTTGGCTTCAAATCTTTTTTCCGTGAATTTCTTAGTGTTATTCAAACAATTCAACACAAAGTCGTGTCGTTGTTTTCTCTTGTTTTATCGTTAATACAAAGATCTCACGCTTCTCGCCTTTCCTTGTCACATGGGTTTGCTTGCTCTCCCAGGTGTCTCTTCCCTCCTCCCTTCAACCCCCCCCCCACCTTTGTCCGTCGCGAGCAGGCAGTTGAGAGTTTCTCACCGGAGCACGAGCCAGCTCATGCGGGTTGAGGTCAGACCTTGCTTAAAAGACATTTCGTTTTCTCGCTGTTCCGACTCGCTTCTTTTATGTGGAAACTGATAAAATGTACGAATCAAAGGGTTTACAGAGCAAGATCCAGAACTAGAGAAACTAGAGAGCTTTTGCAGGGCAAAGTACAACATTATAAGGAAACCAACCTCACGATTTGTATCATAACAGAATAAACATTTTTTAAACTTTTTATTCTAAACAGAAGTAGTTTGATATGATGGCAGAGCGTGTTGCTAATCTTTAACGCCTTTAATACCACATCCCTTTGATTCACAAATGTTCCTCTAGAGCAGTCAATTATCCACTAACTTGTATATAATTATAAATTCAGCTTATAATTACATTTACGCATTATAATACATGTATACATAGTAAGTCTTTATATGATTAGTGTAATATAATAATAATAATAATAATAATAATAATAAATGAAAATGAGCCAATATGTTGTACCATAGAAATATAAATATTTCAGTCCAAACTGCCACTACAATTGAGAACGAAGTTTATCTTAATCACGTAACTTGTAACATGCACGTTACAAGTGACATGATGGTCCTCGCATAATTTCATGGAGTAACGTTTTCCAACTCGACTCTTAACACAACACAGTTTGCGCACGCGCACAAGCGTAAGAGTGAGATGCGGCGATTCCCCCCGCGCAAAGCGTCTCCGCCGCGGAAGAACGCAGGGGGGGGGCGCTGGGCAAAGTGGCTCCAGGCCGCCCGACACGCACAGCAGGTGGCGAGCAGCGATTGCATCTGCTTTCCGCTTATTCGCGAATCCAGGTCAGCGAAAAAACAGCCTCGCGTGTGCCGCTCTGGGGGAAAACCCATCCTCAACAGTAGTTGTCCTCTGAAGCAGCTAGCCAAACATAATTAAATATTAAATATACCTCTGTCCAGAGCTTGGTTCTTGAAATTGTAGGTCCCGGAACGGGCCCAAATTAATTATTAATTTAATAGAAATAGTTGTGTTCATAATATAATTTAATAACTATTCCCGAGGTAGCGAACGCCGTTCCGTCGAGTTCCGCCAGGAACCAATGCCTGCTTCTGTCTTTGTTTATCCTCTCCGCGCTGAAAATGCCCGAAACATTTAAAGCTATTTATCACACATTGTGATTTGGATACGAAATATGACACTTATTCGCTATTTTTCATTATCAACACGACGTTTTAAATAATTATTGTAATACACACAAAAAATGCCTTCAAATAATGCAAGCGAAAGTGTTAAATCAAATTTCGTGTTTTTAAGAAGAAAAGAACCACATCTGAGTGATAAATTTGTAAGATGTTATGCCAGGATGCTCACTTTCAATAAAACATGACTAATAGCAAATTTTGCTCGAGAAACACTGATATGAACAATGTCCTAGCGCTTGATGTGAACATTGTAAAGAAAACGCAAATTAAATAGTTCTCAAATTGGAAACAATGTAAAGTGGAGTTTATGTCACAGACAATGGAGAATCGCTGAGTACATGTTGCAAGTGTTCTTGATATTCTGCAGTTGCTGAATAGAATACTGGAATAAGTTAAGTCGTTCGAGTTTTGAAATACAAGGTAAACAAGTAATTAATGCACGATATTGTTATTACGAGTAATAAAGCTAAGAACGTATCAAACGTTTTATATCTTAACGATACATAATTTGTTTTCTTGTATATTTTCACGTCAAAAATTGTAAAAATTGCTCGACGTTTTGAAGAGTTCATTTACTACGAAGACGACCAAGGCCATCTCAATAGTAATAAAATGTAGAATTGTTTTCAATTCCGGAAATTCCTTATCTATTTGATAAAAATATTTGCATTACATCACGTAATTTTTGATTATTATAAAAAAATTTGTTCACAGAATATATGCGTCAATTCAGAGACAGTAAATCTTTAAACTTTTGGGACCGGGTGTGCTTATTCAGTAAATTTTCGAAGAGAGTTTATAAAGAATTCACACGTTCCACACTAATTTGAAATACATTGTAGAATTAGTACATTTTCGTTTGTTGCACCATTCGATTTTTTTACACATACTGATGAGACGTTCTAAGATACATTAACGAACATTTAATTAATGGGACAGACTTTCTTGATGTATATATTCAAAGAAAAACACGTTAGTTATTAATGTAACACCAAGATCAATTACTAACGATACCATCAGCTTCTGATTGCCACAAAATGTTCCTACGCACACCGTACCTTCACGGAATACTGCAATTCAACATCACCGGAAACGACAAATTATGTTTTGTGGCTGCGAGGTTCATACCACTAGACACCCCCTACTACCTCCTACAACCTCACCCATAAGAAAATGAAAATTGATCGTCAAGAACTCCAAATACTGTATCACTCCAGGATCAGAGCCCATGAGCTCCTGTTACCCAGACATGCTCTATCCGACTGAGCTACTGGATCAAAAATTGCATTCCTGACAATTTAAAGATCTTTCAACGATCATAGATCATAGATAGGGGAAACAGGCATGAAGAGTGACGTTGAAGGAAATCCTCCTCAACAACGTAAAGGTGGCTTCACATTCGTTATTCGGCGAGTAGCAAGCAACCGGTCGGCGAATCCTGAATAGTGGGGATGAGTTGTTTCATATTTGCCGAGTGACTAATATTCGGTGCTCGCTGTACCCGCCGCGTGTCGGACTTTAGGACACATTAATTAGGCGAACACATGAGCTGAGCATAGGTGCCATGTCGTTCCCTCGAGTTTTTATCATCATTTATTTGGGAAATTTTATTAAAATATTATATTAGAATTATGTAATTATTTACAAAATGATATTGTATAATATAATATAAACACTTCAAAAATAGTAAACAATGTAATAACGAATATGTTTATTATTCGCCAGAATGTACAGTGGCCCCTACAAAGCGATCGTCTGGATCCGGCCCCTGTCGGCTGTTCGGCACCGGGCGAGCGGCCACTGGCTACTCGGCGAATGCGGAGTGTGTGGGGCCGCGAGGTGGGCGTGGCCGACCGTGGCCGCGACGATGACGCCTCCGCCGCGCCGCTCGACCTCGCCCGGCCGCCCTCTCGGCCGCCGGCGGCGTCTGCACGCGCCGCGCCCTCGCACCCCCCCTCCCCCGCCGATGCTCTCAAAACAGACGATGAATTTGTTTCTCCAATATAGATTATTTGAAACTGATGTTTTCACGTTTTTGATATTTTATTTGTAGAAGAAAAGCCCCGTTATCACCATTTTGTATAAGTAAAAATATGATATCACTGCGTTTACGCGGCATATGACCTCTGTTCCTCCCCTTAGCAATCTACGGCTAATTCACGAGTCCCTGAACCTCTTGTATTGAAAAACAAATTAGTCCTAGTATTTTTTACACTTTGTTTCTTGTCGGTTAAAACTGACTTATCGATTAGTAAACGCGTGCGCTGTCAAAATAAACTCTCAGTGCTCGTTCTGAAGCCCGACGTCTTAGTTTCCTGGACCCGATGTTTAGAACCGTGGATGCTTCGTCGTGGATGTCGCGCCGCGGGGCCTCTGGCGCGGGGCCGGGCATCCTCCTCCGCGGAATTAGATGCACCTCAGCGCGGGGCCTCTGCCTCTGCCTCTGCCTCTGCCTCTGCCTCTGCCTCTGCCTCTGCCTCTGCCTCCGCCGCCGGCCGCCGCGCGCGCCCGTGATGAATGGGCAGCAAACGCCCTCGAGCCTTTGCCAACTCGCTCTCCATGCAGCAGGGCATTCTCTTTATATCGACTTTTTAGATCGGCTTTTTACCGAGATGGAAGCTCAATAGTGTGTGTTGGTCTAACCAAAACTTGTAATAACATACTCTTAAACTCCCATATTACTACAAGTTGTTATAATTTCTCCCCGAATCCTTTTTTGTAGAACAACTTTATTGGCAGCTTGATTCTACATCGTTCAGCCGTTCGGCTCTTTCAGATATTTTTAGAATAACACACACCAAAATACTAGCAGAGAGACGAGAAGTATAGCATAGTTTAATAACGATGCGGGTAAACCGAACCGAGCACCTCCAAATGATTTAGTGCCGTAGGATATTTCAACGTAATGTGTAAGGAAGGAGTTGAGGGGGTAACAGTTTTGTAAGTCTCGGTCCTGTTGATCTGCGAGACCTACTTGAAAATGAAGTATACCGGGAACCTTTTTCATGCTAAAAAAGAAATCATGAGATATGGTGTGTATGGAGTTTTGGTTGGACGGACCCCATATTCGTGATGCTGGCTATGGTTGCTGTCGGAAGAGAAAATTTAAAATGGAGGCGGCAGTTTAGTTTGCTCTATTCTCTGTATCTAGGGTATCTATTAGTCCAGTATTAAATCTCGTTTTTCTAGGCACTAAACGAAGGCCGAAAACACAAGTCTCAATCCTCTCTTTTGGGCGTAGGGAAAGAAAGCGTATCCATCTGCGCGAGCTAGAAGAAACGCGGAGTTTGTCTTTCACAGGCGCAAACTGATGCGAGAAACCATAAAAAACTTAAAGTGAGAATATATTTCAGATGGATGTAGCAGTAACTATTGATTAATTTGTTTCGGAGCGCGTCAACTGTTATGGTAATTAGTTCAGTAAGTGTAGTTATAACCTGGGAGGGGGATGTTTCTTCCTCGCTGGAACGTGATTCGGAATGTATTCCAAGGCAAAGGCACCGATAGTTGACATTTCATAAGTAATTGACACTTTCAAATATAGCGCTTATAAATAAGAAAATAACTACCCTGTAATCATCGCTTTAAACGATTCTGTATGGTGAAGCCATCTGTATTGTAAAGCAGTAACTGTCATACTAGACTGGAAATCGTTTTACATTGAATGGTTTGTTGTGTATTTGAAGGTATCAACTACTGATGACATGTCAATTACCGGTGTCTTTACCTTAGTGGGGCACTCCCAACCGAGACTAGCTCTACGTTCCCAACGCCTCATAGCGTACCATGTAGTGCAGTAAGAGTAATTGGGTGTGAGTATATGGTAAAGAGGGATGCGTCGAAGGGAAGAAAGATCGTGCGCTGTCTGTGGCTTGCTTGTAGATGCAACTCAGGCCTATTGTGGCGAAAACATATCTCACAAGTATAATGGATTGGTGTGAGGTAACAAAACTGATCAATGTGTCCAAACAAAGCACGTATGATTTGTCTCTCTTAATTTTCCTCCAGACAGTGACTGAATTCGACCAGCGACTGATTACAGCTATGGACGAAAATCCGCCAACACATTGACTGGTATCCTAGGACCCCCGGCCAGAATTGCTGTAGAGATACGTACTATATTACTATATTTACTATATTTGCGCTGAGCTAATTTAGCCGGTTTGAATTTCGAATTAAGTTAAAATCGCGCTCATAGAAGCCTTCTGCTGTTGCCGACTATATTACTAAGCTACCTAGGTGACTTATTAACAAAAAATTGCAAAATGAAAAATCCAAAGTGAAATATTAGACTTTCTCCCATCGACGTAGATCACTGACAAATGAAAATCTTATGGATTTTTTAATTGCTAATAAGGACTTAGCACAACTCCCAAAGAGAAGATTTGTTTTTATCACTGTATAAATTATATTTACAAGTTCCAGTGAAATCATCCTATATAAGAATATTATGTACGATCATGTCAGGAAAGTTACTTATGAAGTAAGTCGAAGGTGAGTCTAGTAAATTTCCTTACAGTTGCTGGTGACACCAGACGGTGACGTCAAACTTTCCCACTATTGTTTAATTACAACATTCAGACTAACAATTGTTTCCCGTCATCCGATGTTAA